CGTGTAGCCTTTGCTTATGTCGGGTTCTACCCAGTCCCGTTCCCCAGTGCCTAACCCATTACCCAGTATTCTAGAGAGTTTATGAGCGTAGGATGAATATTAAGTGGTACAAATGATTGTGAAAAAAAAAAGAAAATGTGAATAAAAAAAACTTACTTCAAGGTGGCCATTCAATCATTATGAAGATTAAATGTGACGTCAGCTCCTTCCACGTGTTGCAAGACCTTATTCATGTGTTCACTGAGTGATAACCATCCCATTTTCCTTGGAAACCTTGAAATTGATGCAAAATTTTAACTTTGTTTATTTGTTGTTTACAGTCACTCACTGTTTTTACGATTTGTTATTACTATGTATTTATTGATATTCATTAAGCACAGAGATATTATAATTACGAATTAATGCTATTTGTTATTAATAACTACTATTAGATAAAATACAGAGCGCTCCAAAAAAAGTGCTCACAATTAAAATTACTATGAAAGTGCTCGATTATAAAGACAAGTTTTAGGCCTTACTTTACAGAGGAAAATTTAAGGAACAGAATCATATACTCAAATTTTTATTTTATTCTATTTTATTTGTTTGATGTGGTAAGGATCTTTATTTTTTATTTATTCATTGCTTGTCAACTTCATCTGCTTATGCGCATGAATTAAATAAAAATAAATAACAATGTCCAAATTAACGAATATTACTGCCCAAACATTGTTCAAACAAGGCTGATAACGTGCATCGTTGAAGTTGCAAACGTCAAGAAACAATTGATTCTGAATATCGTGTTACATAGCGTGCAAACAATTGAAGTTTGAGAACAGAAAATTCATCCCGAAATGTTATTACAAAACTGAAAACGCCACAGAAGGGCAACGGGACTTCGCCCGATCCAAGAATCAGATTGGAGCAGATGGGACCGTTGAAAATGATAACAAGAAGACGTTACAAGGAAATTTCTAGAGAATCATGGCCATCCATCAGCTCCTGAAAAGTTAGAAGCAGATGCTGGAAATCTACAGCTGGTACATACGTCTAGAAATCTCACGACAAATAAGTAGGGAGACACGACTTTGAAGCGACTTTATTGGTGTCTGAATCACATTTGTCTGGGCGATAACGATCATCAATTCGATCATTTGCAAATATTTGACCTATCCATCACTAACATTTGCCTTCTGTAATTCAAGCCTCAAAACTTGTCTCTAAATTTGTGAATAATATTTTTACATTCATTTCAATAGGCAGTAAAATTTTCTGAGACAGCAGATATGAAACTAATACAGTTTATGATTATTATTTTTGTTATTTCCTTTCTGAGAAAAAATCACGTCAAAACGCTAGGCTCTTGTGATCAATCAATAATTCCATCTAAAAACCTCGTGATTTACAAGAATATCACCCACCATCTGCAACTGTGATTGTCATCAATAAAAAACAACAATTTAAAACGAATTCTTAATTACTACTATAAATAGTCGCAGATTATTGCTTTTATTTATTACCAAGTTGAGACTATTACTTTATCGATATTGATTATTTGCTCTTTGCCATGGTAGAATGGCAAGTGGTGGGCTAAATCACACGGATGGTCACCGGTTCGAATCTCGAATCGGGATCCGTTAGGTTAATCGAGCCTTCCATCCCTCCGGCTTCGGACTAGTGGTAGCAGAGTTGTGCGAGAGGATAAAAGCTCAGATTTGTACATCGGCTGGCCACCACAAGTCATTGTATGGGCCACATACGCATTCAACACGCAACTACGATTCTAGGTGGAAGTCGAATGCGGGGCGTATCCCTCAGACGGGATCGATTAAGGCCCGTAGACTTTGTTACTTACTTATTCATTGAGTTAGAATTTCATTTTATATTATACTACTACAAAGCATTTTCTACTGATATTACTAATATTATTACCTCATTAGTTTTATTATCCATTTTACAGTACTGTTTTGTCACTATAT